ATTTGATTTGAATGTTTTTTGTTTATCTATTGAAATATATTTTTCTTTATCTAGGACTTTCAGGAGCTGGAAAATCAACCGTAGCGTAAGATAATATATTTGCTTGTCTCTTTTTTGTCTTTTTTACTGACTAGTGTTTTATTTTTGTTCTATCTTCAAGTTTTGCATTAGAAGAATATATAGTAAGCAAAGGTTTACCAGCTTATTGTCTCGATGGAGATAATATTCGATGTGGTCTTAATAAAAATCTTGGATTTTCTGATAATGATCGTGTTGAAAATATTCGACGTGTTGCTGAAGTTGCAAAATTATTTGCCGATGCTGGTCTGATGTGCATTGTCGCTTTTATTAGTCCATTTGAAGAAGTAAAATTTTTATGATCACAATTTTCATTAAAAAAAAAGAATTATTTATTTAAAATAAAAACGATTAATAGGATCGACAATGTGCTCGAGAATTACATGAAAGTTCACAAATTCCATTTATTGAAGTTTTTGTTAATACACCATTGTCTATATGCGAACAAAGAGATACAAAGGGTTTATATCAAAAAGCACGACAAGGATTAATTAAAAGTTGGGAATAATTAATTTTATATTGCCATCTTTTATCTATGTAGAAATATTTATTTAGATTTTACAGGTATTGATGCGCCATATCAAGTACCAATACATCCTGATGTAATAATTGATACAAGTATAATATCCATCGATCGTTCTGTTCAAATGATTATAGGAAAATTAGCTGAACGTGTAAGTTTATTTATTTTCGAATGAAAGAATATTAGAATCTTTTTTCTCTCGGAATTGATATTATCCGTCTTAGAAAAAATATTTATCTGCAGCATTTTCGTTCAGTAATATATACATAGAAATAGGGAATATAAAAGATGCGTCATCAATATTCTAGTTTTGTAACATAACTCGGATATGTATGAACAATTAATAGTCATAATGAAAATAAATCTATCATGTTTTATATTTTTTAATTTGTAACAAAAATCATTTCATTTATTTAGCATGTATTATCACCAACATTAATTCTTGCTGTACGTGAACTTTTCATGGATGAAGATATGCGTGAAGAAGTATTGAAAGAATTTTCAAATTTAAATAAATTTGACATTACTGAAGTAAATTTAATAAAAAGAAAATATTGTTTTTAGAAAAATTGTTTGTGTCTTTTTTTAGTTAGATTTACAATGGACTCAAGTATTAAGTGAAGGTTGGGCAACTCCACTTGCTGGTTTTATGCGTGAAATAGAATATTTACAATGTTTACATTTTGGCTGTTTAATGAAAGGTGAATATTTCTATAAAAAATATTCATTTTTTTTTTCTTATTTTTTCGTGATTGAAAAAAAAAGGTCATGTTGAAAATCAAACCATTCCAATTGTTTTACCATGTACAACTGAAGATAAAGAACGTCTAAAATCATCTTCAAAGATTGCTCTCTGTTATAATGGAAAATTTATTGCTGTTTTAAAAAAACCCGAATTTTATGAACATAGAAAAGAAGAACGATGTGCAAGAATTTTCGGTACGACAAATCCTGAACATCCTCATATTAAAGTAATCAAAAAGAAATGTTTTATTTTTTTGTTTTTTAAATATTATTTTTATGTTATATGTAGATGATTCTTGAAAGTGGTGATTGGTTAATTGGTGGGGATCTTGAAGTACTTGAAAGAATTCAATGGAATGATGGTCTTGATCAATTTCGTTTAACACCAAATGAATTACGACAACGTTTTCGTGAAATGAATGTAAAGAAAATAAAAACAAAAATAAAGTAGATTTTTAAATAAATGGTTTTTATTCAATTTATTAGGCTGATACTGTATTTGCTTTTCAACTTCGAAATCCAATTCATAATGGGCATTCACTTCTTATGCAAACAACCCGTCAATTATTAATTGAACGTGGATTTCATAATCCTGTTCTTCTTCTTCATCCTTTAGGTAGATAATCATCTTATTAGAATATATTTAATATTCTTAATTTTCTCTTTCTTTAAAGGTGGTTGGACGAAAGAAGACGATGTTCCATTACCGGTACGTATGGCTCAACATCAAGCTTTTTTAAATGAAGATAAAGATGATAGACTTGATCGTTCTCGAACTGTTCTTGCTATATTTCCATCACCAATGAGTTATGCAGGTCCAACTGAAGTTCAATGGCATGCTAAAGCTCGCATGTGTACTGGAACGAATTTTTATATTGTTGGTCGTGATCCAGCTGGTTTACCTCATCCATCCGATAAATCCAAAGATCTCTATGATCCAACTCATGGATCAAAAGTCTTAACAATGGCACCTGGTCTTAATCAATTACAGATATTACCATTTAAAGTAGCTGCTTATCATCGTAGTGTGAAAACTATGGCTTTTTATGATCCAAGTAAACATGATGAATTTGATTTTATATCTGGTACACGAATGAGAAAGATTGCTCGAGATGGTGAACAACCTCCTGATGGGTTTATGGTACCAGCGGGATGGAAAGTTTTAGCTAGTTATTATCAATCGTTAGCAAAAGAATCTGGAGACACTACGAAAAATTAATTTTCTATATTTAGAATTTTACCAATATAACATCAAGTTAATTTTTTTGTTCCTTTTTCTGATTCTATTCTCTAATATAGGTTATTTTGTTCTCTTTTAAATCCTGTCCGATAAACAGGGTGGCAGGAACAATTAACTATACGATAAAAAAAAATGAGAATATCTCTATTTGTGGTTGAATTAAATGAAGTCTTCATATGAATAACATAAACCAATATATCTTTGAAGTATCATTATTGATTTCATTAAAGAATTGGAAGTTGTTATCAATTTTTAAAAAACTCGTTGATGTAAATCGAGCAAACTTTTATCCCTAGTTATTTAAACGTGAACAGTAATGTTTATTTCACAGTTTCAGAACATGGTACATTGCTTTTTACAACAAAGTGGGATGAATCATTGCCTCAAAGACCCAATGGTCTGCAGAGATGTGACGAAAACAAAAATCAGGGTAGAGGACATGCAAGAAAAGTATCGCAAGTAATTAGACGATGCATACAATATTTTTTTAAGTAGAAGTGTGCAAAAGTCTTTTTTCATTTTATGATTCTTTTTATTCCAAAACAAACAAACGATCTTGACAGAGAAAAATTGAAAATTTTATGAAAGTGAAGAGTTGGCGCATCACACGTTGTCATATTCCTGATTGTGTATTTAAACTACCTAGAACTAAAGGTTTGTTTTGATTATTTCTTGTTATTATCTTCGATAAGAGTAGAAAATTATCTATAAGTCGCTTCATATCTCGTATTTTTTTATTTGCCAACAGCTTACATTTCTTTTATGAAATCAATGATGATACTTCAAAGCAGTGTTTGTTTATGTTATTCGTGTGAAAAAAATGACTTTGAATAGATCTATATCAGCAATAAAAGACTTAACCCATTTGCATAAACCGAAGTACAGATATTCGAATTTTTTATCGTTTAGTTGTTTATAGTTTAGCCTGTGCATTTTAGTGCAAACTATTGTGAAAATGATTTATAGTAATAAAAGAAAACTTAACGTTTATGAAAAAATAGTTAGCAATATATATATATAATTAAATTTAATTGTAAGAAATAATCTTCACATTAGATAATGTTCGTTTGTTTTTTATGCTTATATGATAATACTTTTTGAAATAAAGAAAATACTGCGCATTATTTATAACTATGATAAGATTAATTGAATTGTATTGTACAAAATAATCTTTACATGAGACAATCTCCGTTTGTTATTGATTTTTGTATTCATAATACTTTTTGAAATAAAGATAATGTTCTACAAAATATATAACCATGATGAGATTAATATCTTATTGAATGACTTTGGTTTCTTTGAAATCTTTCTTCCTGTCCATATAATCAGTATGCCATTCATTTCTTCTCTATAGCACCAACAATCTTTGACATACTATAACACATGTCCAGGAAAATGATAACAAGCGCAATACACAAGAAAAAAAAACTAGACGTGTATTTATTGACTGCTTTTTTGTCTAGAAAACAGTAAGACGAAGTACTTAGGTCTGACCAAAAGTTCTGAGATCTTTCAATAAAAATATAAAGATAAGGAGATATTTTTAATTTTATTTTATCAAATATTGAGGATAGTTGCCATGATTATTTATATCAAGTTCAATTCTTTCTAACAATTTATTAAAAGTTTTTTTGAACTCTTTTTCGAAAAAAAATTTTAGCTACCTTCGATACCGCATGAGTACATAATATTTCATTTATTTAATTAAATAAACTCCCTTCGATAGAGCTACATAATCAAAGATTAAGTAGTATTAGGTACTGCGAATATGACTGCTGTGGCATTATATTGATGCCTTCTTCTGTCAAATAATTAATAACATCGGATGAGTATGAAGTCAACGATGATCCTGAAGCAGTTTTGTACATTTTGCACTTTATACCTCTTTTTGTTTTCATATTACATTTACAAAAGGCTTCAGACAATTTTCAATATAATACTTATTACCTACTGTCATGCCTTTATCTACACTCAGGGCTATTTGATTTAAAGCATATGTCAAACAAAGTTTGTGTTAAAATCTATCTCCATCAACAATAGTCATTGACGATTCATCCTCAATAAGTCAGCTAGAATCAGGTGACTTATGATTAACCTACATAAAATAAATCTATACTTCGTCACTAGTACTAGTAGAACGCAAGTGACAACATCTAACAAAACTTCGCTAAAATTTTAAAACAAATGAAATATGATTAGCCCATCTGGTATCCAAGGTAGCTAAAAAAGTTTTTCTAAAAAGAGTTAAAAAAACTTTTAATAAGTTGTTAGAAAGAATTGAACTTGATATAAATAATCATGACAACTATTCTCAACATTTCATAAAATAAAATTAAAAATATCTCCTTATCTTTATATTTTTATTTAAAGATCTCAGAACTTTTGGTCAGACCTAAGTAAATCACCGTTTCAATAATGTCTTCATGGTTTAATAACTTACCTTGTCTTCAATATTCTTCATTTCAACGTATTTCGATTAGTGAGTCATGGTTTCAAGTATATGCTATTCATCCAATTGTCTTTGCTATTCATGAAACATATCAACATCTAGAAATAATTTCTTATCTTATTGTTGGTCCGAAAAAGTCTCTTCTTATTGATACTGAAATGGATATTGGAAATATTGAAAAAGTTTTTAATGATCTTACAGCTGTGTCATTAACAGGCATTAAGACACGTACACAACATGATCATGTTGGTGATAATTGGCATTTTGAACAATCTTTAATTGATTTTGAATGTGAACTTTCTAGGAACAATGATCATGCTCTTTTTACTGAAGCACACAAAAAAATATGAAAAATGACATAATTTGTGAAGATTATTTACCAAAAGATTTTGATAAGAAAAGCCTATCAAATTAAAACATTTTGTATAATGAAATTTATATTTGATGGTGATATAATTGATCTTGGAAATAAATGAAAAGTTACAGTGATTTTTACTCCTGGTCATACACCTGATTTAATTTCATCACTAGATATACAAGAACGACTGTTATCTGTTGGAGATACATTCTATCCAGGACCTGTTTATCTCTATTAAACCGAAAAACAAATTTAGACGATTTTATTAAATCATTAGAAAAATTATTATGTTTAATTGAAGATAAAAAAGTAGATTTAATTGTGCCATCATATAATATTCTCATTATTAGTTCACATTTATTAATTATGCCATTAGAAGCAATAAAATAGTAATTGATGGGAAATTAATTGCTAAAAAACCGGATGACGATTGATATAATGAATATAAATTTGATGATTTTTTGTTTATAATTGATCCAAAATTTTTAGACAAATAAATAAAAGAATACATGGTATTAATAAATGTGTTCGAAGTCAGTTGATCAAGTTGAAATGATTTTGCAAGAAAAAAACAGAAACAAGGTTAATTTTCCAGTCACAAGTATTATATATAGATATTCAATTCATGAACATTATCAAAGACAAATTGCTTAGTTTTAAAAGCAAAAATATCTTTTCTTTTTTCTGGCACATTGTATAAAAACTTGTTTCTTGAACGAGTACGACTTTTCGAAGTTGGACCCGCATTAGAGAGCTAATCGACATACAGTAGATAACTTTCACAGTGACAGTGCAGCTTTCAAACTTTTATTTTATATAAAAAAAAAACATATTATTGAGTGTCCATAAACAGCAAACGAAGAGATTATCTCAAATTCTACGAAAAAAGCAAGTGATTTATGATTCACTTGGTGTCTTTCTGCTCCTAACCTAAATTACTTTTGATAAACATATGTTTCTTTGTTGCTAATGATGCTGAAGTGGAATGCGATGATGGTGTCAAACGTCATAATTATGAATTCATATGAATGATTTCGTCATCACGATAATATATGTTTATGTTTTTTTGATAATTCAATTTCTTCTCCATATATTCAGTTACTTTGTCATATGGTTCATTATCTGTAGATTCGTTTTTATCACAAGACGAATTCTTTTAGTAAAACTATATAACTTTTCTCTTTTGTGATTTGTTCTCAAATACAATAAATTGCTCAAGTTTTCACTTCTGCGCTTTTACATAAATTAGCAGTTTGAAAAAGTAGAAGTATTTTGAAACGCAAGGTTTCATTAATTGACGGTTATGAGACCATATCAGAGACCCCAACTAACTCGTAAATTTTTACTCAGACTCATGCTCAGAGGCCCTTCGGACGCAGGGAACTCGATCGAATTGCGGGACACTAATCAATATGTTGTCTTTATATGCTTTGTATATTGAATGTCAATAGTATTCTTTTAATAAATAGATATATTTTCTTTCGTATATAGTCCATGCTACTTTTTTTGTTTGATTATTTGATGAATGATGAACAAAAATCTTTGTAGTTTCATACAAGTTTATTCTTTGTTTAAGGATTTTTCTTAGAAAGAAATCATTTTCGTTGAATAACAATTATTAATCAACTTTTTTCAGCTAAATAATTTGACAGATTTTTCAAACTAACGTTCCTTAAAAAAAAGCGTAATAACAATAAATAAACCTTTGTGTCATATAATAATTTATTTTTTTGCCATCACATTTTCTATATAAACCATTAAAACAAAATTGGAAAAAAAACAGCTACTACTTCATCTACGGTACTGAAAGCTTCAACTAAAGAAGCAAAGACATTGAATCATGTTTATCAAATATTGTCCTATCCGAATCTTGAAATACTTAATCATGTATCAAATAAAACCATTCAAATTTCATTGTACAAGACAAACAACTAACGAAGAAAGTCTGCTAACTAATGAGATATAAAAGACACACCTTTACCATGATTGTATCTTATGATAGACACATTGAAAAGAACTGCAAATTTTACAGTAAACTATTCTCATTAAGGTCTGTCGTTGTATAAAATTTCATTTCGAAATATGAAAACTCAGTTTTCTGTTATTACTTCAGAGAGCCACGACATTGACTTAAATAATGTCGTAAAAACTACAATAATTTTACCAACAATAAATGACTAGCTTGAATTCTTTTCAGAGTATTCATAACTCATTAGGGTCTACATAGTACACATAGTCCCGTCCCAAAAGCGACTAATCAGTTGGAGAATTTCTTTCATAAGATAAAACAACAGCACAAGTAATATTTTTAGTTCCGGTAACAAGTAAATAGAATCGAAACATAGATTACATTTGATGTAGTTGCATGTCTGCTTCTGTGTTATCCTCAATTACAATGATCAATTTAATTAAAGTTTTTCTCTTATATACAACATTTCTTGGCCTTTGTTTTTCAATAAACGATGCCACTTTATTTAAATACGCGCACGAGTAAAAAGATTCTTTTTCTTTTAAACACCAACAAAAATATAAGAGGGATTACAAATTAGGGAGAAAAAAAGAGGGTTTTCATATATGAGATCATCATTCGGAAAAAAAGAAAGATAAACACTCAGGAAGGGCAAGAAAAAAAAAGACTTTTTTTATGACCAGTAATAGAAACATTGTTATTATCAAATATTATTTTCTTTCGTTTCTACACATACATATTTTTGATAATGATTAAAGTCACTGTTCGTCATAAATATAAATACAAAATAAAACATATGAATTAGTTGTATGTATGTAGTCTGTGAAGAATTATTGCATGTGTCGATCGCGAAAAAAAAATAAAATAAATCCACATACACAACAACAACAGCAACAACAACAACAAAAACAACAATAATGAACAACATCAGTGCGATTAAAATAGGGAAATTAAGGATATATTGCACTCATGTATAAGGTAGGAAAACAAAAATCCGATTAAAGAGAATAGAATATTTTCAATTAGTTCAAAATGAGAAATAAAAATAAATCACTATTTTTTTGATGTAAATGGCCATGACCATTCAGCTTTTTCTTTTTGTTTTAACATAACTTTATGTGATAGACTAGAGAATTCTTCAGCACGTTCAGCCATTTGTTTTGATGCAAGATCTATTTCATTTAATCTTTGACCACGTTCAAGTAATTTCTAATTAAATAAATAAAAGAAAAATTAATATTTTTAATTATTTCAATAATAAAAATTTCATTTATTACCATTCGTGTGTCATGTATAACACTATTAGTTGAATCAGCTGCTCCACGTAATTGATTCATATTAACATTAACGTCTTCTTTTTTAATAACACCAGCCGGAGCTTTTCCAGCTGTCTCACCAACTATTAATAAAACAAACAAAAAGATTAAAATAAATAAAAGTTTGTTTTTTGTGTTTCAATTTCAAACAAATTTACATAATTGATCGGAATCAATCATTGAATTTGAAGCAAATAATTTAGCAAAAAAGTTTTGTTTTGGTGCTTCAGGCATTGATATTGATGGACTATATAATTCGCAAAGCATTTCATTAATTTGTTCTCTATATAGATAAAAAAAAAAGGAAATCGATATTAATATTAAATACTTTTCTAGAAAAATTTTAAATAACTAATTTTTCTATTCTAAATTTTAGACATACAACAATATCAATACCATTTGGTATTGGAAATGTCTTCCATACAATTAATACTAGCTGTAGCTCTGAACAGAAAGCCAGTCTGATCCAAAGCTCTTGTGCTCAATTACTTGAGCTCTCTATACACACTCACTAGCCACAATAGCATGTGTATATCATAGCGTAATCAGCATGCTATCGGACTAGTGATCCGGGACAAATAACGGTTAGTGACTTGTCTACGATTATTCCATGGCTGATGATGCTCAGGTTTGCACACAGTACTTTTTAGATACGTGTCGAACAATGTAGTCACCCAGCCATGGTGACTCGGTATTGCTATTGAATGGTACTTAGTATTAGTCAATTTTGAGTACCAACATTAACTAATACCAATACCTCAACACCGTACTGGTATAGTGACATGCCTACTAGAGATGTTCACAAGATGAAAGTTTCATGCCCTACCCTATTGCCGAAAATGCATTAGAAAAAAATGTACTCTGTCCTACTTCATTGGATCGGACAGCGTACCGTGCAAAATCGATATACTGTCTTGATTATATTTTTCAATCGAATTCAAAAGCAATAATGTTTGCACCTTTGAAAAAGCACGCCTTCAAGGCACTGATACATTTGTTGAATCACAATTTTCAAGATGAATACTTTTTTGGCCGTTTTCCTATAAGAATTGCTTTAATTGTTCGGGAATATAATAATTAGAAGAAGATGATGACAAATTTGATGCATCATTAAGATCAGCAGCAGACAATAAGTGCCATCAGCAGAATGAAATGATATAGAACTCATTAGCTAATCTTTTGCCTTAGTGTGATGATCTTTTTGCTTATTGTTTTTTATACATATCATAGCTTAAAACTCTAGATACCAGTTAGTGTATGATCCTTTGCAGTCTATTTTCGATTTTGGACCCTCAAAGAAAAAAAACGCTCGTGTTGAAGATGAAAACTTGAGAATTTTAGGTTCTAATTTACAGATCATAAAGATATGACCCTATCCTGTTCTGCTGTATCTTGCCTTTGAACATTTCTGATGCCTACTAAACTTCATGACACTTATTGTTTTTTTTTCTCTAATCTACTTATATTAAAATGTTGAAATTTAACAAATTCTACTCATACGTACTTAACATCAGCAGAAAGTGTAATTTTTTGAATTTCTGTCGGTGAACACATATAAAGTCCATGACCTCGATTGGTAAATGTAAATGTTAAACCTATCATTGATCTAAATGAATCCATAATTGAATCGAGACTTGCATTGAAAAGTTCACGTAAACTAGGTAAACTATACACTTGTATACGACCAGCTGACAAATAACATGTTAA